ATACTTGAACTTCTGGGACGTTCAATGCTCATCTATTACTTACTTTGTTGGACTACTATAACATATATATATGTTTGTGTGTCTTTTTAAAATTTCTCTAATTTTCAAGTGGTCTATAAATAACTACTCTTGGATTTTAGGAAAACATTAGCTGTATTATTCATCTGGCTAGATGGTATACTTTTGCAATGATTTTTTTCTTTCTTCACTTATTTTCCAGAAAATGTCCTATGCTATAATAATTTTTTTGTTTCCAACACTTCCATGTTGACACATATATTTGTATTATTCCATAGTGATAGAACCCTTCGACTAAATCTGTTCATTACAATTCAAGTAAATAAAACTAATTTAAATACTCTTCCATTAAAACAAAGCCATAGTAACCAAGTGAAAAATACATAGACTTACTGTTCTTCCCCAGTAAATTCTAAGGTCTGAATGGCAAGATTTAAAGTTTGAATTTGGATGCTCCATAGTGCTTAGCACAGGATTTTGATGGTAACAGAATCTTAAAGGAATGATTTGACATGAGACAACTGACATTCTTAAATAAGATTGATATAATTTGAAATGAAATGTCCTCTGGCCTGGTTATTTCTTGAAATTCTTATCCAGAAAGTTTTTAAAGCCTAATGTTCATAATTATTTGTAATAGTATTGTCTGTGACAGCAAAAAAATAACATAGAGGTTCAACTATTAGTTGTTACCTTTGCTAATAGAAGTATATTAACATGATTGTATTATGTTAAGATTATACATTATACAGAAAAGTAAACAAATGAGAAATATGGAATGCAAAATAACACATACCCACTGTAATCATCATGACACAGAATAAATAAGTCATCATGTTTTCTGAAGACACATTCAGAAAGGGTCATGTAGAAATCTTAAAATATTTTGACCTGAACATAGCAAATTATTTTTCTATAATTGTATTTAAATATGCCACTCTCTCTAGGAGAAAAGGTTACAGGCATTCTTTATTTTTAATTTATATATTAGTGTACCTAGCTTTTGTTTGTTTTTAGTGTGCACATATATTAATTTTATAACCACAAAAATAAAACCATGAAACAAGGACTTCCATACATTAATATCATACAGTAAACTGCACAAAGGCATAAATTACATTACTTTAAGTATTACATTCACTTAAGTATTATATTCACTTAACTATAAACTGGTTTATTTGGCAAAAATTAACATTATGTGATCTTTTCACTATGATATTAAAATTGAACTTTCAAAGAGTATATTCTTTCAGTTTGCAATACCTACCAAAGACCACTTCCTTTCAAATCTCTCCACCGTCATCATAATCATCATCAACATCAGCATAAATAACCACATAAACAGACACACTTCTGTACCTACCAGAGAACAATTAGAAAATGTCCATGCACTTAATCTAGCATGTCATGTTTTATGGTTTTAACATCCCTCCACATTTTATCAGGAAGTAATTTTCTTTGGTTATTTGGGTACCAATATACTTTGAAATTACTCACCCATGTTCATTTGGAATTTTGTTGTAATGCTTTGTTAATTCTTGTTTTTAAAAATAAGTGAAATTTATTCTTAATTCTAATTATTGGTCATATAGGACAAAATGGAAATAGCTTCATTTTACTTATTTAGAGTTCGCTTGGAGATACCTGTTTTATATTTGATATCAACTATCTCCAAGTAAATTCACACATCTAAATACTACATCTCAATATGACAATAGTTGGTTTCCTATACAGACCCATGCCTCATATTTATAATCTGATTTTCCTCTCTCACTTTGAGATTTAAATTTTAAGTTATAAACGAGCTGTGACCATTTCACTTCATAAAACAAGTCCAAAGGCAAATGTTTATACCCCAATTCATCTATCATACCAGGGACAAACCCCTTCAGGGATTTATATTTGCAAATGTTGATTAAAAAAAAAAGTATTTCCGTAATAATGTGATTAAATTAAAAAAGGAAATGGAAAGATTCTCGAACATTTCACTTCTCTGTATACCTAAGATATTCTGAAGTTAACAGATAACAGCAGACAGTTACTGTTTCAGGCCACACAGTCTATGTGCTAATTAGGAAGCCTTGATTATTTAAGGGCTCCAACTTCCTGATTATGCTTGGACTGATACGGCAAATCAGCTAAAAGTTATTCACTCAGGGGAAAAACAACAAATAATTGAAACTGTAGGGTTTTTTTGAATTGAAAGAAAACCAATGATTCCTTCAAAGTTACATATTTAAGATGCAGTGCACTTGATACATTTTAGTAACATTTAGAAATATAATTCATTTGGAGGAAAGAGTTAAAAACATACTGATATAAACTGCTGTGAAGAACAAGATTGGCAATATGGCACAGTGATGCTAATTTAACAATATTTTATATAAACTGAATTCAGTCTATGAGAATGACAAAAAATATGAATTTATATGACAGGTATAGTCAAAACCCAAACATTTCAGTTGGAGTTCAGTGGAATTGCTATGAACACTTTCCCTTAAAAAAATAAAGTCCACACTTAGAAAAAAAATTTTTACAGATCCTATCACTTAAAGGAAAAAACAGTTAGTGCATTTGTCATGTGATTTTTATACCCTAATATATTTATGTTTTATAATCATAATCACTTATAGTATATTGCATATTTTAATTTTTGAGGCATTTTCTTATAAATTATTTTGGTTGGTTGTCATAACAATTCTGTAACATCAGAATGAACAGTTCTAATGTAAAGGAGAGAGAAGGCTATTTTTGTGGATTTAAATAGTTAAGGGGTAATAAAGCCTATGGTGGTCAATGTGCTTTATTCAACAAAATATTTTAAACCATTTCAAAATCTGAGACTTACGGGAAATTCCTTTGAGATAATTGAATTTACTTAAGGTTGTTAATGTAGAACAAAAAAAATTAAGGAGAGAGAGAAAACGATCTTTTCCATCACTTGAGGCTCTAGGCCACTGCCATGAAATCCCTGTGTCAGGTCACATCTCCATCTGGTGCTGCAACTGTTCCCTAACGATTAGGTCTCATCACGTCCAGCTGTGTTGCACTCTGACCCATAAAAGCCAGAGTGACCTTTCTAAAAGGCAAGTCTGATAGATACTGTTGTTTCCCTGCTGAAAACTCTTCAATGGCCTTTCCTATTTCCCTTAGGATGAAAAATAAAAGTCTTACTATTATCAGGCCCTCTTCAACCCAGTGGGGTTCAGGACACATGGCAGCAAGATATGGCACCTGGCCAGACTGAGTATTTTAAGCTGAAGTACTTTGAGACTACGACAGAAGCAGAAAAGTCACTTGGAACTTTCACAACCCTCATCCCCTGATGCAGGTGATAAAATCCTCATATGAAAGGTGCCTTCCTTATATCCAGAGGAAAGAGACGTCCTTATCAAAGGGAAGCAGCACAAAGAAGACACCTAACAAACAGGACTTGTTAAGTTTGTTTATTAAACTTACCTCATACTCCTTAATCTACCAGATTTCTACACAACTACCCACCTTTCATCAATTCTCGCATATGTCCTTAGGAAGGCTTCCGTGTCTCAGAGAACTTACATTAAATCAATTTTATACTTTTCTCCTATCAATTTATCTTCCTCATTTTAATTTTCAGACCTAGCCAAGGATGCTAAGAGGGTTCAGGAAAACTTTTTCCTCCCCTACCAAAACCTTGTTTTTCAACTCAACACGACCTGTGCTTCTCCAGCCTCCAAAAAAGAACCTCTGTTATTTGAACATGTTCGCTCACTTCTAGGATTTTCTGCATGTGTTTTCTCTGACTGGAACTCTTTCTCACATCTTTATCCGTCTACCTTATTCATCATTCAGGTCTCAGTTTAAACACACCCTCTGCAGAACCTCCCTCATTCCTTCTAGATCAGGTTAGATGCCTTTGTAATGTCTTTCTAAGCTAGAATGACTTATACTTTACTATAATCTTTTGCATTAATTGTGGGTTCCCCTGGGTGAACTGTGCCTCCATGAGAAAGGCACTGTATTTGTCTTGCATGCTGTGGTCCCCTCCAGGGCCCAGCACAGGGTCTGCTGGAAGTAGGGGCTTAAGAAACTCGTGTTAAATGAAAATATCATTATCAGTTCATCTTTCAAAATATACAGTATTTTATAGTATTAAACTGACATGCACTACAGACTACAAAGCATAAAAAATAATATTCTTAATGTACCAATTTCATATAGTCATTAATCCAGCCAGAGATAAGGTGAAAGATGTATGTTTAAAATGTACCTGCTAGGAAGAGTATGTTTAGAATACGCTAGGTTAAAAAAAACGTGATAGTATAAAATTTATTTAAAATAACAACCACCTTGGGGAGCTGTTAGTTGTAAAAAAATAATCATTTGAAAAGCAAAATGATGACTAGGTTCTATCTTGAACTAAAAAAAAGAGAGAAGGGCTGAACTAAACTAAACTGAACTAAAAAAAAAAAAAAAAAAAAGAAGAGCTCTTTTGTTGAGGTTTTGAACAGCTACAGAAGGTAAGGTGGAATCGGCAGGGACACAAGATATAGGACCTGATTTGATTTTCTGCTCGTTCAAACCTCTGGTTCTTTTCTCATGTTGCAAACCCTTTCTAACATAAGAGAAGGAAAGGAAGAGGAAAGATAGGAGAATCAGTAGGAAGCATTACCAAGTGCTTTTGAAAAATTCAAATCCTTCCAAAACACGAAAATATGGGGAAAACAAATAAAGCAAAATGGTATCATATTTCTTTCTCACATCAAGGCTCAAAATAGGCACTTGGGGCATGCTGTGTAAGAAGGAAGACTTTCATCCTTCCTCCACATAAACACATTTGTTTCAGTGGGTGGGTTCAGCATTACTCTCTTGGCACCAAGCCACCAAGGAGGCTTTTGAATGTGACACTTGGTTCCTTAATAGACTCTTGCAATAAAGGACAGACAGAAAGTTAGAGAGGATAACTTTCATAAAATGAAGCAATATCATGTATCACTAATTACCTGTTCATAATAGTGGATATTCTCCTCAGCCATATCTGTAAATGCTGACTTGATATCATTTTGCATATTGTGTTTCCATCTTTCCCAATCTGCTTTCAGGGCATTATTAGCACATTCCACTTTATCTTCAAGTTTTCCAATCTCTTCTGTAAGCTGAATTAGATCACAAAGAGAGAAGCATCAATCTACGATCTACGTATTCTTGTTACTGAATGAATTCATCAAATCTAAGCCAATCATTTTATCAAAACAGCTTAAGAATAATTCTTTGTTTGGAAAGTCACCGGCATTTACCCTTTGTACTAAGCAGTTATAGTAAAAAGAAGACTGGATTCAGCCAGAGATGCTGAGTAGAGTTCTAAGGTCTGCCACCAATTAGCATTTGACCTTGGCTAAGTCCCTCAAACCTTGGGCTTGGGTTTCACTATTTATAAAACAGAGGAAATTGAACTACAAGTTATCTCAAAATTTTTTGCATTAAGTCTCATTACCACTATTGTTTATGGTGATAATATTTATGTTAAGAGGTATGGTTTCATTCCCCAGCTTCCCATTCCTGGGCCTCATTTTTCAGTTGTTTTTAGAAGGATCAATTAACTGACATGTTATAACATCCACTCTGATTATGCAGTCCAACCTGGAGGCCCAGGGGATTAACCTGCCAAACATCACGGAGCTAGTAACAGAGGCAGGTTTATATCTCAGGACGCCTGACACCGAGTCCATGTGCCATCAGACAGGTTTAGTGTGATATTTACACCTCCTCCTATCTCACCCACCAACCTCTGAGCATGTAATCCATCAATGTATTGTTTTGTATTTAGTGTATTTACATACTAATACATATATTTATACATACTTTATTTATGTACACTATTTATTCATAGGTTCAGCACATGTTTATTAAGTGCCTTCTCTGTACCAGGCATTCTTCTAGGTCTTGGAGATTCAGCAGTGAAGACAACAGACAAAAAAATCCCTGCTTGTACCAGAGCTTATACTCAACCGGGGAGAGACAAACAAAAAGCAAGATAAATGAAACAGGAACTAGCGATCGAAAAATTAATGCTAAAAAGAAAAATGAAGCAGAAAAGTAGGGGATGTAGGATGATGCAAGTTCACATAAGATGACAGGGGCAAGCCTAAATGAGGAAGCGTCATTTGATTAAACATCTGGAGTCAATGTGAGAGTGAACCATGAGACTCTCAGGAGAAAAATCATTCCTGGCAGAGGAAACCACAGGGCAACAGCCTGGAAGTGGAAGCTTGCCTGGATGGCCCGAGAAGAACGTGGAGACTGGCATGGCCATGGCACGTAGTGGAGTGAACAATAAAGTTCTAGGAGATGAAGTCACAGAAGGAACGGGTGACCATATCCTACTGAGCCATGCAGTTTGTGGTAAAATTCATGGATTTTATGGGATAAGATCCTAGGCCGGGAAACTTCGAGCAGAAATGACACCATCTCTCTCATATTTTCAAAGGGGCATCATACTTTACCACTGTGGTGTGACTGAAAGTATCTGAAAGAGGTGATTACTTAAGAAGATCCCCATTTCAGAGGCGTTAAAATGTGAAAATGTCTTAGAATCAAAATATGTTATTTTGCTTCAAATGCTCATGTGAATTATTACTCTTATTATTATTTTCATCATCATCATTATTATTTTTGCCATGGAATTTCACTTTTCTATCCTTATTTCATCACAGCTTTATTTGCTTTTATTTCCTAAGAATAGACATTTGGTATTATATAAATTTTCCATTGCCAATGGGAGATCTATTTTAATAGTAAGGTTGACTTCCATGTTTTTTGCGGGGGAAAGGAGATTTTTTTTACTTGTTTTGTGTGTTAACTATCTCAGTGAGGCCACTTATTACTTTTTGAGTATGTATACTCTTTGGGCTGATTAAATCTTAGAGAATCCGTCTAAAGAGTTGTTAATGGTATATTAGTGGGATATCTGATGGTGGGCTGTGGATACTAGGGGATAAGCTAAGAGTGAAATTGCTGAAAGTCCAAATATTTCAAACAGGATCTGGGTGTGCTGGAAAAAGTTCAGGGGTGGGTTAGAGAACTTCACTCCTCTGGGTTGTTGGATGAAATTGTGCCATTTTCATAGCCAGATGGAAATTATTAGCAAAATGTCTCTCTTGCATAGAATCAGGAGGTACATACACCAACTGTAAACTCACTATTATTCTCCTCTGCTTAGCTTGTGCAGTCTAAAATTGCTATGCACTGCAGTGGGATTACTGGCAGACTGCTCTATTAAAATTGGCTTTAGGAAACAGGGTATCTAAGTCATATATATTTTATCTTTCTCCCCTTCCTGACAGTTTAGCATGATGTCCCAGCCATAAGGGGTTTATAAGAGTTTTCCCTTGATCAATCTGCAACTCCCTCTCATAAAAGCCCTTGGAAGTGGTGGTTTGGCTGGTTGGCGCTCCTGCTCTGGCTGAGAGCTACTAGAGAAGTCCTGTCCTGTTCTCTGACCTCACTCTCACCTACAGAAAAGAAGGTTTGTAGCCTTACCAGCACAGCATTGGGATTAAGAAGACTGATAACAAGTTAGACTGACTTCAGTTTAAGTCCCACTTCTGTCTTTATAGACTATGTGGCACTGGGTAAGACTAGCTGTTGACGCCCCAGTTTCTTCAGCTGTAAAATGGATATAAAAATAGCAATGCCTACCACATAGGGGTTTTAAATGCATGAAATAATGAACACTAACTGTCTGTCACAGTGCCTGACAATTGCCTACTAAATGTTAGGTATTACCATCACCACCACCACCATCATCATCACCATCGTTATCAGTTGGTGAAACTGAAGTTGATTCCTTCTCCTTTTCCAGTATTTTGAGCTCTAGAAGTATCGCATTCCTCCGCCAGGGTCTTGGTCTTAAGTCCATTCCTAGTGCTATTGCTTAATCTGTTCTCACCAGGGTGGAAGATGATGCATATGCTTTAAATATATATGATCAAGTCTTGTCATTTTTTGCAGCTATACAGGAGTAATTTTTCTTTCTTTGATGATTTCATCATTATATCAGTCGGAAAAGGAGAAAAGAGACATTAGGTATTTCCCCACACTGAATCATCTTCCCATAATTTCAATTCTAGGAAACTCTAATTGATAATAAGCACAAAGCACCTAGTTCAAATGAAGAATGAGCTGGACCTTATCTTTCCTAATACTTTACAAAAGCATAGTATGTCCTTGTCCTTAGTTGACTTCAATTTTAGCAAGTTCTTTGGTATAAGGAACTGTGCATTTGGATGGTGCCATCGGGCTTAGGACATATACACTCAACAACAGTTAAAAGAAGTGGGAGAGTAAGATGTGCCAGAACCTGGAGGCCAAGGAAGGTTTCAATAACTCTAAAAGTAGGAAATTCAATTCATATTCTCTACGACAAAATAGCACAGAAAAGACTGAATTAAAAAAGGATTAAGGCTTGAATAATTGTTTTCACAAATCCTGGAAGCGATTTGGCCCTCTGTTAGTGGAAAAACAGAAGAACCAAGCAACCCTTTTTGCCAGGAAAATGTTGTAATACCAGAATAAGTAATACAAGATTGTAAGATAGTGAAAAAAAAGGGGGGGAAAATTTATATTTAACAGCAAGGCTAATGGGTAATTTCTAGCTTCAGTTATATTCAGCTAAAAATTAGCCACACAATCAAATGAAAACCATTAATACTAAGAACTCAGGCAAACAAAACAAAGCCTTTGTCCAGTAGTGACTCCCTACTATGGTACCAGTAATACCAACGAGAATAATAACCATTTATTGCATTTCTGCCGAGGGCCATTGCATTAAGCTATATACTTTACATATTTCATTTAATCTGCATAATAATGTTGCAAATTTGGTATTATTATCTTCCTTTTACAAGTTAGGAAACGGGTAGAAAAAAAATGAAAGAGATCGCAGAGCTTTTGTGACATTATAGAGATTCAAACCACGGCCTGCCTAAGTCAAAGCCCATGTTTTTTCCACACGGACTGAACAGCACCAAGCTAGCTTGCCTGTGGATTTCAAGGCTGAACTGATGCAGCTTTAACTCAAGGAGTTTGTAATCTATTAGAATATACATAAACAAAAATGAAATAAAAACTGAAGACTATATAATATGAAGCAGAATATGATATATACCACAATGGAGGAAAAAATTAAAGTGATATAGGAGGACACAGAATGGAGGATTATTTCTGACTGGAGCAGGGGACATTTTGACTGTCAATTCAGTAGGCAGGGACTGGGGAAGAAACACCTGGATGAAGGTAAGGCATAAACAAAACGGCATGCTACAGACTGTGATAACAGAATGGATAAGAAGTAGGTTTGGAGTCTGGAGGTAGGCAAGCAGAAACAAGAAATGCTGCTGGATAGGTTGATTAAATATTCACTGCTTGAGGGTATAAATGATATTGAGCATGAAATGGATTCTTCAGGAAATGGTAAATCACTAAACGTTTTTGACCAGGACAGAGCTGTATTTCCTAAGTCAGAGACATGCAGGGATGGTTAAAGAGAAAGGAAGGAGTAGAGGGAAAAAAGGAAACCAGTTAATGTTCATTGAAGAACGTTATGAAGAAACAATGATAAGTAGGATCTGCTTCATCCCCATTCACTCACTCATCCAGCAGCATTCACTCAGCATCCATCTAGTTCGTGTTAGGAACTAAGATAAAGGACATCCAAGACTGTGGTGTGGGAAGACCCAGAACCCACCTCCTCCCATGAACACACCAAATCTATACCTATATACAGAGCAATTTCTCCTGAAGATCTGAGGGCTGATTGAATAGCCAGACAAAAAATACCACAAAGAAAGGTAATTGCAGGCCAATATCCCTGATGAATATAGACGTAAAAATCCTCAATAAAATAGTAGTAAAACAAATTCAAAAGTACATTAAAAGGATCAGATACCATGATAAAGTGGGATTTATTCCAGGGATGCAAGAATGGTTCAACATCTGCAAATCAATCAGTGTGATACACCACATTAAAGAGACAAAGGATGATGATCTCAATAGATGCTGAAAAAGCATTTGACAAAATTTGGCATCCATTTATGATAAAAACTCTCAACAAAGTAGATATAGAAGGAATGTACCTCATCATAATGACAATGTCATA